GGGGGGGGGGGGGGGGGGGGGGGGGGGGGGGGGGATTTTCTAAGAGGCAATATAATTTTTTTTTGTACACCTGTCGCAGGAATTGTTTTTCTCACGTGATGGCTGGAAATATTTTTTTAAGTGAAATTTATTGGCCTATCTTCCAAGTTAGGAATATGCCTGGGAAGATTTTTTCCCCCTAATTTTTTTCTGGGAATAATCTTTTTTGTTCCCCCCCCCCATCTCACTTTTCTAATGGTCCGTCCCTAACCCGTTGGCGTTCCATGGCGTTGCATGGCGCTTCAGCAATCGTTAAATGATTTAATTTAATTAACTTGGCAAGGATTGCCCAAAATATCAAATTACAACTGAGGTCCATACACACCGGACGCGATTCGACAAGGCAAATCGCGGCAAATCCAGTGTTGTGGACCAGTAAGATATATATCTCCAAGTTTACACGTTACAAAATCGTACACATTCAAACAAATATTAGGATCATGATATTTTTGTGTGTGCTTTGATGTTATGTACTCAGGTGAACCCCTGGGTACGAGTTGCAGGGGACCATAATGTTTTTGATGTTTATACTCAGAGTAACATATAAACAAAATATTAGGGTCTTTAGGCAAGTCATATTGACAACATAATATTTTTGTTCCTAAAAACCCTGGCTTTGTAGTTTGCACTTGTCTTTAAACCAGACGAGAGAATCTTTGACAATGACATTGCACATAATTTTGACTCGTTGTGCTGCCGACTATATACAGGTACAGAAAAAATCCCAGGAGCATAAGTTAACATCTTCCGCTTGACAACAATAGCTTGATTTCTAAACGTATAATATTAATCCGTCGTTTTGCTTTTGAAGTATTAGGGGGAAACAAAGCATATTCATCACACCTACTCTAATGACTTGTTTTGCCAGTTCAAACGCTAATGACCAGGCTAATGACCAAGCGTCTCCAGTCCATGCGTGAAATGAGCACCATTGATTCGGCGTCTGATTCGGCGTCGCTTCATTCTGCCCAGGATGTCAAACAAGAAGTAAGCAGTGCATATCTTATAGTGAAGCTGTTCATTCCGATTCACGACGAACGAGTTTATGGTCGGAATATACTAGTCTAGATGAGATTAGACCTACGAAGTTTTCCTTCTATATGATATATCGGCTGTGACTGCAATGTGATATCATGTAAGTATATATTTCTTCTTTCTAGCTTGTATTCATATTCAAATGGTTACTTCAATAGCGATTCGGGGAATAAGGATAAGTTTAAACGTCCATGAAGATCATAGTTTAATATAAGTTCTAAACGTCTATGAAGATCATAGTTTGAACCAGGCGGCTCCTGTAACTGGATCAGAAGTGCGAATAGTTGCATTAGTACGATCTTATCGACCACATAATTAGCTACAGACGGCATGTCCGCATAGTTTCGAACACATCTTATTCGAACCACAGCACAACGGGCGAAGAAACTACATCCTCGAACTACATATTATAATTCTTGTTTTATAGATTGGCATACATTGATATTAATTTAACAATGTGATTGATTTTCTCGCTGAAATTGCTTAACCGGGCGTCATGATCACGAGTTTACATTGCCATTGCATTGGTGGCCTCGACTTTACATCGAAATTTATGGCTGGTAAGTCGTATCTTATCATATCTTAGAATACATTGATATTGAAGCGGGAACTAGACTCAGTTCAGAAATATATCACCAACTCGAACCGATTTGACCTCATAGCTCAGTTGGTAGAGCATTGCCATTGGACTGGTATCTCTCGAACTGTCCGTTTTGATACTAAATTACTGATCATTCAAATCTCTCTCAAAATTTGCGAAGACAGAATGCAGTCATGGCTCCTAGCTTGTTTAGTGTTTAGATTAGTCAGTTTACAAGCAGCCGGAGTTGTTCCTTTAAAACGGTGGGCCGAGTTGGTTAGTTGGCCGAGTTGACTGTAAAGCATCCCAAAGGTGGCGGGTTCGATTCCTACCGTGGTCATTCAAACGTTTCACCTTGCCCGGTGCCAATGCACACTATTTACATATATTCAAATTTTAACATTCCCAAGTAAAAAGTTTAGACAAAATCAATAATACTTTGCGGGTGGTTATTGATATATTCTAGGTTTTATAATGCTATACGTGTGACGTGTCGGTTATTTTTCTCGTGGGTATAGACTGCAGTTTATAGTGGACACTGGAGAGTTTAAGCTTCGCGTTGTACGTCAAACGGCAAACGCCAGGCAAAGAAAATTTTTACGGTATCAGGCCGAATAACTACAGTAAATGAATTTCCTGCAATTGATGATTATTCTTTCGACACAACTCACAAGAAAGAAAATATGAAACGAAAACGTTCGACGAAAATTTAACCAAGAAAGTTCGAACTTGCCGTTCCCGGAAACATGAAGCTTAAACTCCCTATTAGCTAGTGTGTTAGTGATCGTGGGGGCGTACTAATTGCCGACAAACCGTCAAATACCGACAACAGCTCCATATCGAGTGCGACCATTAATTTCTCTTAAGCCGGTTCTCCACTTCAAGCGTACCGTATCGAAACGTATCAAAAACATTTTTAAATTTCAAAATTTCGTTAATATTGATTGGTTAGTACTTCCGTAGTACGCCAAAAAGTTGACTTGCGACGAACTTTTTATTTTGATACGCGAATACACCCGGAAGTACGTGGATTTATAAACCTCTTTTCAATCTGCGCATGCTCACCAATACGTTTCGCTACGATACGGTTGAAGTGGAAAACCAGCTTTGCAATTAGTTGATGCATGTAATGTTTTGGGGAACAGAATCTTGAAATTTTACTAAAACATCACTCAGTATACTTTCTCTAGAGTTATAAATCTATACGTACCCCAGTTCGAAAGTGAGAACTCGGGTTTTGCGTAAATGACAAAATTAAAAGTTAAAACTAGAAATACATGTCGCATTGCTCACGTCATGTTAGCCATGGCAACACGATATCACAGAATAAAGAGACAGAGAAGATCGACTCAAGTAAACGCTGCCAGGCCATGATTCGTCATCAAAATGCTTACGCCATGGTCCTATATAGCCAGTGCGCGTTTGAGAGGCATCCCCCCCTGGACCTCCGCCATTTTTAATATTATCAGAGGGTGAATGCCTCTCAAACGCACACTGGCTGGACCATGGCGTCAGCATTTTGACTGATGATGAATTACGGTTACGCCAAAATCATAGGAAAACCCAAGACGTCGGGCTTCTGTATGACTTATTCTGTGACGATATTTTTTGAACAAAAATAAGAAAACTGCAAAAATAAATTAATGAAACTTGAACACACAGTTTAACCACATAACTATCAATTTCTATAAAAGTATATAAAGTAGATATGTTATTTTGCATTCTGTGGGCTTTATTTGTAAATATTGTATTGTATTTTTATTTTTTTTTCATTAAATTTGTCCTTTTGTATAGGTGATCGTATGGTTTCGAGTGCAATTTGGAAAAAAACATGCACGAATGAACTTTTTTCAAAGGCTGTGGAATCCGAAGGACGAGTACGATTTGAAGTCTTTGAAAAATTCACGAGTGTATTTTTTCTCAAATTGCATGAGAAACCATACCAGTAATAGTATGGTTTATATGGTTATAAATAATATTATCTCCCCCCCCCCCCCCCCCC